GATTCTACTTTTAAAATTTATTTACTTTATTGGAATTCTTTAGAATTGGAAAATGGTAGGAAGCTCTAAATCTTTCTCATATTATTTTTCAGGTTGTTATTCCTCGAGCTAAAGTGAATGAAACAATTCATAAGGCTCATAATTCTCCTTCTGGTGGTTCATTGTGTTATTAATAAAACGATTCCAACAATTCATCAACGATTTTTCTGGACAACTCTTAAACAAGATGTCGAGATTCGGTGTAAAAAATGCAAAGTTTGTTTCGCTAAAAAGGGTCTCCATAAAAAATCTTGTGGTCAACTTCAAATTTATAATGTTGGCTCTCCTTTTGAAAGGGTTGCCATTGATATTCTTGGTCCTCTTATTAAAATCTCCTCTGGAAATGAATTTTTACTCGTTGTTACAGATTATTTTACAAGATGGCCTAAGGCGATTCCTCTGCCTAATCATCAGGCTTCTACTATTGCTGAGGCTTCAGTAACTCAAATATTTTGTAGATATGGTGTTCCTATTGAAATTCATTCTGATCAGGGTCGAGAATTCGAATCTGAAATCTTCAAGGAGGTGATGAGTTTTTTGGTATTAAGAAGACAAGAACCACACCTCTTTATCCTCAATCAAATGGTTTAGTTGAAAGTTTGCATAGGACTATTCTTCAATATTTGTCCAAATTTATTAGTAAGAATCAAAAAGATTGGGATAAGTGGATAAGTGGATTTCTTTATTTTTATTGGCTTATCGTTCTTCAAGACATGAAACTACTGAGTATTCTCGAGCTTTGTTGATGTTAGGTCGTGAATTAAGGTTGCCTATTGATCTTCTTAGAGGAATTAATCCTTCGGATAATTCTTTTCAGGATAATTCTATAACTGATTTTGTTTTTAATCTTCGTGAATAATTAAAAATTGTTCATGATAATGTACGTGATAAGTTGCAAACTAAATCTGAAAAACTGAAGTATATGTATGATTCGAAATCTAATGTTCTTTCTTTTAATGTCGGTCAAAAGGTTTGGTTATTTTTCCCTAAAAGAGTTAAAGGAAAGTGTCCGAAACTTCAATGTGAGTAGGAAGGTCCATATATTATCAAAAACGAACTTAATGATGTTGCATTTCGAATTCATAAAATTCCGAATAGTCGTTCGAAAGTTGTTCATATGAATAAACTCTCTTCTTATGATGATGATTGATTGTTAACTCTTTTTGAATTCTGTTGGATTCAAAGTTTTTGTAACTTCCAGTTTGAGAATTTTTCTCGTGGAGTTACTGTAGGATATACACGGTTGGAGTAATTGTCCCGGAATCCTTTTCTCCATTTATTGGCCAAAGTGAAGCAAAGTGAGGTACTAGATGTCCATGGTATCCTATTATTTTTGATCGGATAGTATGCGTAACTGTGAGCCCAATTTTTAATAATTTAGTTTGCACAGTAAGCAGAGGCTATTGAACTTATTTTTAATAATTCCTTGCGCAAAGTGGAATTGAATTGATTGTTATTATGATATTGAATCTTTTATTTAAGAGTTGGATTTAATTTAAAAAGGATGCGAAGTCGGAATTTATTTGGAGAATTGACTCCATGAAATTGAAGGCCATTCAACCTTATTATTAATTGAACATTGAATTTAAAATTAACCAATGAAATTTTTAAAGAACTTTGATTCTGTGAGGAACTTTTATTTTGTTTAGTTCCATGACCTCCCAGTTCTCGGCATTTCCTACTCTTTGGGTTCTTTTGGTTCTTTTCAGTGGTTCCTCCTGATGAAAAAAAAGGATGCAAAGGGAATTGAAGATGAAAATTAAGATTTTTCATTTTTAATTTGACTAACGGACGATTAGTTTTTAAGAAATATTCTATTGTATAGAATCACGTTATTAGTTTAATTTAGATCATTTTGGTCTGATTGCAGGTTTTCACCCGCCACAGGATTTTTTCCTTCTAATTATTAGTTTTATTTATTTTAAAGCAGACAGAGTTGGGAAGCGGCAATATTGGAATCTAGGCTGAGTGATTATTTATTTGACTTTTATAATTTCGAATTAGAAATCGAATTTTAGATTTTTTATGTTATTTATTTCAGCTTAACCCAATATTTTTACCCAACTAATAGGAATTGCCAGGTGGCAATTTTTAGAAGATCGGGAGAAGTGTAAAATATTTGTATGTCGCCATCTAATGACTATTAGACTTCCCACTGGGAAGTTAATAAAAACGAAGATAAAAATAAACACGTCAAATTTGTAATTAATAAACTAAATAACGATAAAGAAAATGTTCTGACTTCGAGTTGGCCGGGATGAGAAAAATCGAATTAAGTTGACTGTAATATTATTTTAGGAGGTTGGGTGCTAGAAGGTTCATTAGAACACTTTCAAACACAAACGTTCTACGGTTGTCTGGGTTTTTATTAACAAAAAACACTCAACCGATGACTATATGTATGATTAATCACTAATTGTTTGTGAGTTGTCCAGTAACTGTTTATTTAGTTTACTAAAACGTGTCGTCTGCGTAATAAAAGTACAACAACTATCTCAGACCGCGTGTAGCGACAGGCACACAATACAACGGAGTTGTTCGGCGATGTGCTATACGTGTGACTGTCCACAAGGCACTATGGCGTTCACGCCAGCGCAGTTTTGCGTCCGAAGATACACAACTGTTCTTCTTGGACCATTTGCACTAGTTGGTGTCACTAGGGCCGTAGAGTTGACTACTGGGCCACAAGAGCAATAATTGTTCTTAATTGGTCCAATGAGTTGACTGACGCACCGGTAGACAAGTCCGGCATTAATCAATTTGAAGATTCTCAGACTGACTGACTTGGGGCCCTCCAAGTCAGAATATTGTCCCACCATCAGCAACGCCCTTGCTGATCATCGGCTAGTGGAGTGTATAGTAATATGACTAATTTGGTGAGTGGTCTGATGAGTTCTGCTGCTGCTGTCTTGAATTTGACTATCCTAACGAGTCTGTCTGCTTCTAGGAACACCTCCATCACTCTGGCGAGAGGCAACTTTGTCGGTGGGAACCTTTCATCAGTGAGTAGTGCAAGTGAGCTGTCTGTGATTTGGTGTGATGGGTGTTTCCATTTAGAGATGGCGAGTTGCTGCTTCTATCTGGACAAGCAGTATGGAAAGCTCTTCATATGTAAAGAGTGAGTCGCCTATGGTTCTGTGAAGATGCAACTTTACTGATTTGACTGCAGCTTTCCACTTTCCCCCCATATGTGGTGTAGCGGGTGGATTGAACTTCCACTCAGTTCCATCCTTTGAGAACACAGCTGCGAGTTGACTGAATCCCCCGCTTGAAGCGTTGTCTGATGAGCATGTCTGCGTGTTGAAATGTGGTGCCACAATCACTGTAGAGAGTCCTGCAGACACCTCGCCGTCCAGTGAACCGTCTGAACGCTGCAATGAATGAGTCTGCTGAATAATCTGTTACAACCTTCAAATGAAGAGCTGATGTAACCGAGCACACAAAAATGCATAGTCAACCCTTAGTTGTTTTGGCGCCTCTGCCTTTCCAAGTCTTTAGTGTGATGGGACTAGCGTAATTCACACCACAGAGAGCAAATGGTCGAGCTGGAGTGATTCTTGATGACGGCAATTAACCCATTAACTGCTTTGCTCGCTCTTCACGTAACCGAGCACATTTCATACAATGATAAATATAGGATCTTACTGGGAGTCGTCCGCCTAAGATCCAGTACGATGATCGTATGAGGTTCAGAGTTGCTTGCGTCCTACCATGCAATGTTCTGTCATGAGCATCTGCAATGATTAGTCTGGAAAACATGAGTTTTCTGTAGTAAAATTGCAGGATGCTTCGCTTCTTGGTCCAAGCTAGCATTTGCTAACCTCCCTCCAACACGTACAACTCCTCGAGTGTCAATAAGTGCTGTTAAACGTGCGAAAGGGGTGTGAAACGAGAAGTACGATTCTTGAGTTGCCTTTATCCAAAAAATCCTTGCTCTCTCTAATTCTTGTGGTGTGAGAGGGAAGGTAAGAGATGACTGAGGTACTCGTCTAAGGAGTTGGCTGAATTTGAAGCAAATTGCAGTCACTCCGAGCAATTTGATTAGACGAGAGTGTCTGTATGTCATATTCCAATGGTAATTATGCTGAGTCGTCTGCGTAATTAAATTGAGCCCGGGCCGCTCTGCCTGCTGAGCTTTTGAATCGTACGTTGATGATTGAGTTGGTCATAATGATTCGTCTGCTATAAGCCACTGTGCAAACCTCCAAGCGCTGATTAGAGTGATATCTTGGATAGCTAACACTCAATTTCTTACAAACTTCTTCCAACGGGATGAGTGAGACTGAATTCAGGCCAATGTTACTGGGAAGTCTGTCCAACATACCATTTGAGTTAGCATAACGTCTAAGTTGCTTTCAACATACGTGATTAGTCTAGAAAGCAGCAATGCTGCGGTGAGTTCTAGTCTAGGAATAGACATCTTCTTGAGTGGAGCAACTTTATACTTTAAGCAGACTATCGTTGAACAGGTTCCATGATCTTAATGAGTTGACAGTACATAAACAACTGCTGCCATGTTTGGTTGTGAGGCGTCTAAAAATCCATGAAATTCTACTGTAGATTGCTGAGTAATCTTTAACCACTATGGAATTGAGATGTCTGAAACAGGGGTGAGTTCTGATCTGATACTGTTCCACTTAGAGATAATGTGATCTGGGGCTGGTTCATCCCATGAGAGTTTATTTAACCAGATTTCTTGCAGCAAAATCTTTGCTCTGACAATGAAAGGTGCTAGAAATCCACGAAAGCCCGAGTAACTTCGTTTTACTGCTCTTAAATGAGTGGATCTGTTCTTTTGATGAGTTGTTTGTCACTGATTTCAGGAAAGTTACTGAGTTGCTGTGCCATTTCGCCAACAGGAAACCACCTGCCATGCAGAGTTGTCTGACTTCTGTTACGAGGTCTATAGGCTGACTCACTGTATCAGCACCTTCAAAAATGTCATCCACACATCTCCCTCTTCATAATGAATCAACAGCTAGAGGGAATCTATGACCTTCATCCTTGACTAGCTGGATTAATGTATGAATAGCCTGGAATGGAGCTGATCTGATACTATACGTGACTGTTGTAAGTTGATATGGGATGATGTTGGAGTGTTCATTCACCCAAAAGATCCTTTGAAGATCCCAGTCATCTTGATGGACTTTGATTCGTCTATACATCTTTGTGATGTCTGAAGTAAACACGAATTTATGCTGCCTGATCCAAATGAGTACGTCTGTAATGTCCTTTTGGACTTTGGCACTTGTATGTTGAATGTCGTTCACTGAAAAACCACTCGATGATGACTCGATGAAGACTACACAGAGTTTTGTAGTGACACTGTCTTTTCGTAAGACACCATGATAAGGCAAGTAATACACTGGTGAGTTGACTAGGTTTGCCTTGGCTCGTGTCATGTCGTTCAGTGACTCATATTCTTGCATAAACGTGTGATATACTTGTGCATATGAGTCATTCTTTGTAAGTCGTCTGATCATGTGTTGTAAACACTGATGAGCTCTCGCTAATGAGTTGCCTAGAAGAGATGGTGATGCTTTCAGTAGTATTCTCACTACATATCTACCATCTTGATCTCTTGAATGAGTTTTTACATAATAATCTTCACAAGATTGATCGTCTGGGCTGAGTTGATTGGCGGAAAACTCTGGAACTTCTTCTTGAACCCAGAATTTCGTCAAGAGATCAGACACTTGCTGGTATGAGTTGACCCTTGCTGAATGATGAGTTCGATGAGTTGAGCATTGTGTCTCTTGTGGCATACCAATTAGCATTCACCCAAAGATTGAATCTTGGGCGATGAGAGGAGACTGGTAAAATTGTTTGATGGCTGGCTTCACAATGAGACCATAACAATCTGCTCCTATCAACATGTCAATGGGTCTCGACGTTGAGTAGTCTGGATCAGCAAGCTGAACAGTGTTAAGAGTTAACCAGTTGAGTTTCTTGATTTGTTCGGTTGGTGAAGTACCAGTGACACACTTGAGTATGTGAGCATTTATTGTAACTTGTTTTTGTGTGTGAGTTGATCTGAGTGTCACTGTTGTCACTCCTCTGGTTTGTACAGTTGGTTCATTTCCGATTCCCAGCACTGAGATCACTAATGGTCGAAGTTAGAGATGACACGTCTTTACCACACTTAATGAAATAAATGTCAGCTCAGACCCTGAATCTATCAAAATTCTTACTGGGAGCTGAGAGTAGTCTGAGATTATTACTGCATTGGCTGTGGCCTATCACTAGAGTAGGCCAGTGTTTTGCATGACGAGCTGCATCCTGAGCTGACTATATCGCACGTTCCCTGGCTGAGTAGACTGTTGATGGTGTTGGAATGCTAAACAGATGTTTAATATGAGAGAATATGAGTTGCTCAGAGTTATCATACCTCTCTTTTAGTTGATTTCAAGCTGGCTCATAACCATCATCATTCATGATAGCATGCCTGATGAGTTCCGCCAGTGGTCGTGATTCCATACAACTCAATTAACGGAATCATGGCAGAAAAGCGTGTAATTTTTCCAGTCCAGTCGGACTACGTAGATGTAGCTGAAGACAATGATTCAATAAAAGGTGTTAGTGTGATGTAAGAACAAGTAAGTGTGAAGCAAGTGCCATTACCATTCCAGTCGACTCTCAAGCAGAAGGTACTAGTAAGACAATGCTCAAGGTGCTTAAAAAACCTACTACATCACGTGACAGGTCAAAGTCACCCCCTGCACTGGCGGCGGACAAGTCCAGCATTAAACAATTTAAATATTCTCAGACTGACTGACTTGCGGCCTTCCAAGTCAGAGCAGATAAAAAATTAAATAATAGTCAAGAGAAACGAAAAGTTATTTGTCATTCATGTAATTGACCTGGTCATATAAAGAAAAATTATCGAGGAAAAGATAATAATAATTCTAAAAAAAATTGTCAGCTTTGTAATAAAACCGGACATACTGCTAAAAATTGTTTTAAAAATCCAAATAGAGTTTCATCAAACGTAAAATATTAAATTGTCGGAAAAATGGTCAAATTGCTGAAACGTGTCGATTGATAATTAATAATTTGAATGAAAGTCATCAAAGTAAATCTTGTAAATTTTGTTAAAAATCTGGTCATGACATTTCCACTCGTTTCGCCAAATGGGAGCGGGGTCAGAGGCACTTCAAAAGCGTCCAGTGACATTGACTTTCGAGGAGGAAACCGAAAACGAGTACTAATCATAAACGTAAAATTAGAATATTTAGACGATCTACCGTATATTATTGTAGGCAAAACCAATAAATATGAAGATGTTGTTGTATAGCCAATGAAACACGAATTTAAGTTCTACTTCGAGTTTATTAAAACTTAATGGTTTGTACAGGTTACAGCTGTTCTGATATAAAATTGTATGATTTACAAAATAGAAGACAAGTAGACAGGTTGGTGTCTTAGAAAAGAGTGAGTATGTTCCTTGAATTGGGATGTATTTATGGGATGAAATTCAGGATAGAAGGGGTTGTTGTTTGGTGACGTAAGGCTGTTTTTTTTTGGTTAGTGAAACTGTGTCGAATCAGGTAGTTGAGGATTTTGGGAATTTTGGAAAGTGTAGTTTTCTGGGGAAATATTAAAGTGCAGTTTTATGACAGGATATAGAAAAAAGGGGTTTGAAGAATTTAGAAAGCTAGATAAGATATACATAGATAAACTAAGTTATAATATAAGGGCAGGATATATAACAATGTTATTATGATGATAATTTTCAGGAGCTTCGTCGAACTTACATAAATTTAGCTATGTAAATGATCCCACGACAATTGATAAAAGTAAAATGGTTAAATTGAACGGTATTGAAAATGTACCAACAAAGACACTCGGAAGTGTAAAAGTTAAATCATTTAATAAAGAGACTGTATGTCATTTGATTCTTGATACTTTAGGTATTCCGCATGCAGGTCTTGTGGGATCTCGATTTTTCGCCACACATGGGGTAAAAATTGACAATAAAAATGAAGTAGTGAGAATATATGATGTTAAATATACCTATTTAAAAAAACTAATAGAGTCGAGGATGGAGTAATGTATATTCCCCCTCGTAGTCAGTCGACCTTTTTCGTAAAAGTTAAAAATGAAAATATTGTCGAAGATTATGTCCCAAGATTAAAAGCGTGTAAAGGCGTATTTTTAGGAGACTGTTTAGTATGTGATAATGATGGTCGTGCTTATATGCGGGTTTTGAACACGTCTGAGAATGAAGTGGGACTGAAAATTCCTGCTTTGTTTATACAGTCAATAGTCATGATCCTAAGATTGATAAAAAAAAATGTTTGAATAGATATTGTAAAATTGAAACTCAATCAGATTTTAATGAACTAAATTTTAAAGATTCTACTATGAACGAAATTTTGTCAATTATTTTTCAAAATTTTAAAAATGATAAAAGATTTAAAAAAATTATAAAGTTATTGAGATTAAGCCACTTAGGCGAAGAAGAAAGAAAACATGTCAAAAAACTTTAAAAGAATATGCAGATCGGTTTCATATTCCAGATGAACCATTAGGGTCAACAGATGTATACAATCATAAAATACCTACTACTTCAGATATTCTTATAACAGTAAAATAATATCGTACACTTCAGTTTTTAAAGACAGAAATTGAAAAGCAAATTTAAGAGGCATTATTGGGCCTTCTGAGTCTCCTTAGAATAGTCCAGTTTAGATCGTACCTAAAAAACCAGATTCGCAAGGTAATAAAAGATGGCGAGTCGCTATAGATCACAGAAAATTAAATGAAAGAACTATTACTGACGCTTATCTATTACTAAATATTACTGACACTCTTGATCAGTTAGGAGGTTCAATGTATTTCTCTGTGTTTTATTTGGCTTCCGGATATCATCAGATTGAGATGGATCCAAAAGATACCTATAAGACGGCGTTTTCAATTCCACAAGGACATCGGCAGTTTAAACGTATGCCGTTTGGGTTAAAGAACACATCAGTAACGTTCCAAAGGTTAATGGATACGGTTTTGACTGGGTTACAAGATATATCGATATTCGTTTATTTAGATGATATCGTAGTTTTCGCGAAAAATTTGGATGAGCATAAATAAAAAATTGATAATTCAATGCAACGTTTACGTAAAGCTATTTTACAATTGCTACCAGATAAATGTAAATTTTTACGCAGTGAAGTAAATTATCTGGGTCATATTAGTCATAAAGGTTTAAAACCTGATCGATTAAAATTGAATGTTCAACTGGATATTACAGAAGATTTATTAAGAATTTTTAAAAAATTGCAAAATCATTAACTCGATTATGAGAAAAAAATAGAGATTTTGAATGTTCTCAAGAAGCACAGAGTGCTTTCGAGATATTAACAGATGTTTTATGTAAAGCTCCAGTATTACAGTATCCAGATTTTTCAAATCGTCGAAGAAAAAAGAAAACGGCAATGTTATTTCAAAAAAAAAAAAGGGGTAGGTCCAAGGAGTCATGAACATGGGTGGAGCTATGCTCAAGGAAAGAGGTATGCCACCAAAAAAAGTGTTAGACTCTAAAGAACCTGATAATGTAAATACTCGAGGTACAGTGCCAGCTACTTGAATGGCCTCACCCGATATTTTAAATGTTTTATGAAAACAAATATAATTTTGGATAGCCAAACATTACTTTTGAATTACACTACTTGTCCTTGTATTGATGACACATAAATAAGTACAACGCGTTCACGCAGCGAGCGACAAGTACGTGCCGCCTTCTGCGACCGTACACATGACTAGCCTTAATTTAACAAAGTCACTCAAATGACAATTTTTCAATTTTATATTTAATTTGTTTTTTAATAGTTTGCTATTACAGTATTGTGTTCTGCTAACAACTCTCTTGAAGCTACATGAAGTACGTTAATTTGAACATGGGACGCGGTAAAAAACTCACGAGTTTAGAAATTGAAAAAATTAACTTTTATATATCTCAAAATTTATCTAATCGTGAAATAGCCAAAAAAATCGGTCGAAGCCCTCAAGTAATCAATAATTACGTGAAAAAGAAAGAAAATTATGGCCAAAAGTATAAAGGACGTAAATATTTTGCCACGACAGAACGTGAACGTTGACTTATAATACGCGCTGCTTCAAATTCAATTAAGACCGCCAGGCAAATAGCAAGTAAAATCAATACTAGAGCATATCTATCTACAGTTTGACGAATCATAAGAACGACACCTTGCCTAAAACGAAAGGAAAAAATATCAGTGCTCTGCAGTGGTCTGGGTGCGACCCGAAAGGTCCACACGATCAACTTCCCAGTGAAAAAAATGAAAAAACACCTCAGATGAAATCCGTTTCCATTTTTTATAACAAATGGAATTGTTATAAACAGAATGGGTGTGTTTTTATTCATTTGATGCGGTTAGTTACTTCATTTCAGTAAAAGAAAAAATCGTGCGTTAGAAGAATTTAAATATACCTCATAGATCCTTTTTATCATTATTTACAACAAATTTCATTGTTATAAACGGATAAAGTATGTTTCCATTCATGTCATTACGCGTTGGAAGTACTCAAATGTATAGCATGGATACCTATTGTTATTGTTTATAACAATATAAATTTTTTTTATTTGACTATCATCATAATCAATAATCATCTGTTATTAACAATGCTCAATTGTTAAAGACACAATTTCATATGATTAACAATTATTATTGACTATTGTAGCGTCTTCAATGCTATTTTCTCAATCCTGACACGAGTTTAAAATTCTTTCATGGCTGATTTTGTTTTT